TTACCATTACATTTATTTTACAATTGATAATCCATATTTCTGTTAGTGGAAAAGAAAGTTAAAATACAATTCTAATAGAACAACAACAATTGACTACCAAGTCTTTGGTCAACATATCACGCCAATTGTGTGTTGGTATTACATAAAATCCATACAAAACAAACTAATGCATGTTGTTCATTTGTGCTCATGTGCTTCACACATTCAAACGGGGACTGTTCATTTGTGCTCATGTGCTTCACACATTCAAACGGGGACTATTCCAGGTTATTTATTTGACTCGATCACAATTCTGACGTAGAAATTTTATGCTCAATTGAAAAATGTCAAATTTATGGCTGTTTAAATGATTACACAAGTACAAATGTTTGCATCACCTGATGGGCAAAATCCACTTCCACTCTTTGCAATATCTTCAGCAACAAACGAGGTTGCAACGCTGAGTAGAGGAATGTTAAATAGTTTTGAAATTACATTAAAAAGTGATATAGAAACACCAGCAGAAGCCAACTCCACAGAGCCTATAAAAGAACAAAGAACAAACTCTAATAAATAATAATTAATTGAACAAAGAGAGAATGATAAACATAAAAAAAGAGGAAAGCTTAATGCCATTTGGGCTCAGTAGTTGAAATAAGAAAAAACATGGCTATCTCCCAAAGGATAGTGAATGTCATACAACTTAAAATAATGAAAAGAAAATTATATAGAATAAAAATCAGCAAAAGGGTACTGCACAGATAAGCTATACTGAAATTAATACATTATCATATAGACATATACAAACACATAGTGGTAAAGTTGTGAATACTAGTAATTAATAAGCAATTTCACACTAAAGCATCAACTTTACCCAAGCGGCCAATATATGCAGTCTCCATCAACTGCGCCAGGGGATCAATGGCTTGACCAGCAAGTGCTGGCAAAGAGAGCGAAATTAGTTCACGTTTTATGTCCCGGGAGTGACCTGAAGCAGCAGTAGAGTCTGCCAATTGATTTCCAATTCCATTGGTTTCAGAAGAAATATTGTTACTTAACTCACTGAGTCAATTAAAAAAAGAATGATGAATTAAGCAACTGGGATTTTACTCACAACTAGCTAAGAGGGGCAAGAGAATAAATAAGCAACTAAATAAAAACATAATTGAAATATCTTACAAGTCCTCTCCGCTTGAACCTCCAGAGATGATATTATCCCCCAAGGCAGAAGTCCAGAAAAACTGCTTTCTTGGGTGGGTATACCAAAGTCTCTTTTGATTGCTTATTGACAAAGGATAATTCCTACTGCAAGCATCTAAACATATCAATCCACTGCTACCATCTCTTCTTAAAACAAGGCTTGAATGTGCCAGGCCGGGCATAAACGGTCTTCCCCTTGTATATTCCCGATGCAAAATGCCATTTCGTGAATTCAAACCCGTCGTGCTACCACTCAACAGTGGCAGAGCCATGGTTGTCTTGAATCCTGAATACGAAATTCAAATCGGTTTTGCTGAAATCAAACCAGAAAACATGGTATCAGAAATTGGGTCATAATCAGAATACATGAATATCGTGTAGAATAGTACTCACAGCTCGTTGGCTTCGTATATAAGCAGTCTGACGGTGACTGGTGAGGTGGTGGGGTTCTGGGAGTGGCTATGGAACCGGGGAAGACTAGAAGAGGGTGACAACAGCGACGGCGTGAGAAAAAGGTCGGAACTTTCTGGAAATTGACGCAAACTAACCTTATATCGCACAGCTTGAACGGGTTGCAGTGGGGAGCAAGACAGCTGCTTGGACGATAAGTGAATAAAATCAGAGGCGGCAAAGCCAAAATTTGCTGGTGACATGGGAAAATAACTGAAATTGAGGCTCCTTTCATTAGTGAAATGCATTATACGCGTTTCTTCACTTTCTTGGATACAAAACATGCTTGTTTCCATAATTTTATTCTCGATGCCTCGGTGGCCAAATGTTTGCCGTGGCTGACTTGGAAAGGATAATTTAGAGGAGTTTGGTAACTTTTCTATATAATAATCAAATATAGCTGAATTTACTTTTCTAGTTAGAAATTACTGTATATATACATATATGATCATGTTAATTATTTTTTTCATATACTTTTTAGAAAAAATTGATAGTAATAATCCCAACTATTGGCGGTCCGCTCATAATAATCCCAACTATTGATTATTCCAGAATAATCCCAACTTTAGGGACCTTCCGCCAATAATGGTCCCTATGCATAAATTCTTGTAGTTTCTAAAGTGGATGAGATGAGATATAACAAGTAATTCCTATAAATAATCTCAACTTCTAATTTTTACGCTTAATTTCTATGTAAAATTCACTTTTTTTAGAGGTAATATCTGGTCATGGACCATTATTGGCGGACAGTCTATATAGTTGGGATTATACATAAATAATCAATAGTTGGGATTATTTTCAGCGGACCGACAATAGTTGGGATTATTATTTTCAATTTTTCCTACTTTTTATTTATTTTATTAATAAATTATATTTTAATATATTTATTCATAAATCAACATAATCAGCCAATTCATCTACTTCAGCCAGAGTTTGATAAACTTAGCAGAATCAACTAATTCAGTGCTACTAAATGGACTATTATAATTCGTGTTAAATTATATTTAAACAAAATAGAATAGATCAAATTCGTATAGTAATAAAATTACCACACCCACACCGGCCACACGCATATGTTTTCTTTTGGACTGTTTTAAGTCCCAGACAATACCAGATCAGACCAGACTTTCATAGTTATAAAATACACAGAGACTAGACATTTATCAGACTAAACCAGACCAGCTCAAATCAGACCAGACCAACCAATTTCAGTCCCAAAGAAAACATTTGTACACACATGGGCACGCACACGATTGGCGCACACACAATAAGAATTTCTAGATACATATAATGTGTGCTCTTATGTCATTAATAAATAATACACCCACACACCCACATATATGTGTATGTGTAATTTAATGAGTCTATGATGTATTCAGAAGGCAAAAAAATCTAGTTTTAATTACGGAGTATATGTGGAAATATATTTATGTTATTTCTTTGCTTATATCATAATGATAATCATAGTACAAATTTACATAACTATTTGTTGGCATCTATCATACTCTTATAATTAGGACCGTCATTTTCACATAACTATTTCACATCTCTAATGTTATGAAATCTACGTTTTCTATATATTGCTTCATTCCATTTATTTAAGTATGGTCTTTGTAACTTTGTTTCATTCGTTTGTGAAAAGGCACAACTCTTTGATGACAACATGGTGCATGAACTTTTCATATTTCAACTATCTAGGGTCAGTGATCCAAAGGTTTAAAATTTAATGTGCTTCAAGCTAGAATTTGCTGTAATTTTGGATATTTGATAGTACAGCATTAATGCTTATTTTTATTAAATTTAATTATGATACGTGTATATGGATATTGTAGTTGTTTAGAATCACAGTCATGCTAATATATTTAAATCGAAACCAAATACTACACTTTACATTGAGACAAAAACTTCTTTTGAGATTGGTGTATTACAACAAACAATTTATAAAGATGTACTACGTATACTACTCCGTATTTATTATTGGAGTATATCTGTATATGCTCATATGAGTGGCAATGGGACAGGTGGATTGGGGCTGGGCAATTGACTATGTGAACATCATTTCACACTACTGGAAAGAGGCTTGCCCTTCCGGATATTATTATATATATCCATTTTTACTCATCTACAATTTTGTGAAGAGTAGGAGCTGAGTCAACATGGATATAGTCATATAGGTTTTTCATGTATGTGACGACGATGGTCACTCGAAGAATAGCACTTTAGATTTTGTTTAATTGTGACTTTGTTTCATTTTAATTTTTATCTATAAACACATCCCTTTAGTTTCACACCAAATGTCATGGTGTATGAACTTATGATATATCATATCGTATTATGAAATATCTAAGGAACAAACAGATTGAAAAGGTTCCATTTTATCATATCATGCTTCAAATGATTTTTCTTTCGTTATATTTATTGTTTTTCATGATAAAACATTATATTGGTATTTTGTTATAGTGAGTGCCACTGTACTGAAAGAAAGTTGTAGTAGTTCATCGTGTTGTTAATGAGAGAGAAAGAATTACTTTACTTGGTAGAAAGGTTTTTTTTGTCATTCACCTATTGCAACAATTGATTCCGAAATGGTTTTTTATCTTTATTGTGATATACTTCTCATGGTTATAATTCAAATGTGTCCATATATAAGTGTCCAAGACTTTGTAATTCAACTATGTTACTTTAACACTTCCAAAAAGGAAGTCACGGATAGAAATTCATATCATACTGACATTTAATTAACATAAAACAAATATTCTTATATGTTATGGAGCATAATAAAAAAAAATGTGTGTGTTGACATTTTCATCAATCTAATATACTCACTTATCTGACATCCTTTGAACCAGCATTTGACATGCTAGAGTTAACGAAGTTGACTTTGAGTCATGATGTCCTACATGATATTTGAAGCATTTACCTTCTAAAACCCTCCTACAAACTTTAATCCATTTCATTTTACTCCGTATTTGAGTAATGAACTCCCAATTCCATCTTTTTAAACAATCAACTAAAGGTTTAATTTTTACTCGAATACAACTTGCCCATATATGTACTAATCTTATAATTTTTGAAATTACATTAATTAGATACATTATTGTCCTTATATAGTAAAAGATCATATTGGTATCATCAAAAACACTAAACTTCTATCTCGAATAAAAACATTTGGATATAAGACTTCTCATAACAAATTCTTCTATGTGAAATAGTTTTTCTCTATTGCATTATTGCATACTTTTTATTTTTTTCATTAGGCCATCATATTTATCTATACTTGTCCCAATAACAAAGTGGAGGACAGTTTCCTCCCATGTATTAGGCATATTCGTTTGTGTGCTCTGACTCCCCATACTCAATACTCCGTATCATCTATGCTTACTTGGCCAAAGTCAACAACTTAGTTTTTTTTATATAATGCAAAGAGAAATATTAAAACATTCACAAATCTGACCCACCCCAACAAGTTGTTAAGTTTATTGATAAGAAAATAAACTGAAGATGGCTTCTTCTTTTGCTCCTTCAGCTCTTCTTCTTGTTTGGGTAGTAATAGTCAGTACTACCATTCCCTCTTTATTATCCCCATTCTTAACCTTACCGGCGGCAGAAGCTCAGGCGTTCAAGTGCAACCGGCGGGGCGCAACCTGCGACGCCATTGTAGACTACATCTCCCCCAACGCCACCACTCTCTCCGCCGTCAAATCCCTATTCAACATAAAAAATCTCCGATCCATCCTGGGCGCCAACAGCCTCCCGCTCAACACTCCGGGCAGCCAAACCCTCCCGGCGAACCGGACACTGAAGATTCCGTTCACGTGCTCGTGCGCCAACGGCACCGGCAGGTCCAGCAATCGCCTCCCCAGCTACACGGTGGCCCCCGGGGACGGCCTGTACCACATCGCGGCGGAGGTGTTCGGGAACCTGGTGACCTTCGGGGAAATCCAGGCGGCGAATAACATACCGAATTCGAACCTGATTGTTCCGGGTCAGAAATTGTGGATCCCGCTGCCGTGCAGCTGCGATGACGTGGAGGGGGAGAAGGTGGTTCACTACGGCCACGTGGTGGAGGCCGGAAGTTCCGTGGAGGCGATTGCCGGGCAGTACAACGTATCGCAGGATTCTCTGCTGAAGCTGAATGGGTTAAGCAGCCCCAAGGATCTCATAGCTGGAGCTATCCTTGATGTTCCTCTTCCAAGTAATTAAGCATCTACTTGTCTTAATTAGTTCTCTAGTTTAAATTCTTCATCTTCACTAACCTAAACCAAGGAAAAATTCCTCAAATTAATAATGGAATATACTACCCCAACTTGCCCTAAATTACCAACCAAATTTGACTTGTATAGACTTTGTAAAAGGAAAAGTTTGTGGGTGAAACTTGAACCGCTTTGCATAGAATTTAAATTTTTTCTCTTATTTTGATGACCATTTTTCATTATGTTCGAATTTGATTTATGCTCAGTGGAATTTTTAGTCCGGTTTCTAAACACGTCAGTTTTAATTATTAATATGGACTTTACTAATAATTGAAAAGATTTAACTTTTATCATCTTTCCATTGTAGTATTAGATTATCTCAATTGCTTTTGCATTGATCATTTCATTAATAAAAAGGTGTTTTCCTTTTAAAATAATTTAGCAATCAACTTGAGAAGTGTTACCAACTTTTTTGGAACTTGGAAACACTCAACCATTATGCGCGTGGACATGTATGCACTAAAATAAAATAAAAAAATAACACGCGTGTTTACTCATGTTCAAATATTTTGACCATCACTATCATTAGTGTCTCGATGTTCAAATACTCCCTCCTTCCCGCAATAAACTTCTCGGCGTGAGTGGATACGTATATTGAATTGGCTGGAAAGGCGATAGCGCCATTCTTTGGTCAATAAGCTTGGGCTAATGAATGGGCTTGTATGTATAAAAGCTAGCACGGTGCAAACTACGAGTAATAATAAATATAAACATGGATCTGTGCTTATCGATCGGCAGAAAGGTTTGGAAAGGTTTGTAGAGTGCACTGTTTTGCACTATTCAAACACTGTTTGGACACTGTTTGACACTGTTTTGATATAGATAATTTGCCAAATAAGAAAAGTTTTAAATCGTGAAGTTAATTTCGGGAATGCCCAAAAAGGAAAGTGTGAAGCTTTTTGCGGGACGGAGGGAAAACTACGGAGTATTACTTAAAAGTACTACTTGCTCTGTCCCATTGAACTTTGCTAACTTTCCTTTTTTTATTGTACCAAAAACTTTGTCACTTTCCTATTAAAACAACTAATTTGTGTTTCTGCACATTTCTCTCTCCTCTGCACAAATCTCAATCACACAGTCTTTACTATTTATTTCTCACCTATTTTGCATTTGGCAAAGTCTACCCGAGTCGGAGGTAGTAGTATATAATTAAGAAATCAATAATAAAATAATGTTTCAAAAACAGGGATTATTTGTTGAAGAAATCATTCAAGAGTACTCTGTACTCTGGACATTTATAGGGGTGAGTTCGGTTCTTGCGGTTCGGTTTTGACCTAAAACCAAATATAGAACCAGAGTAAAAAGTTCGATTCGTTTTCGGTTCGGTTTCGGTTCGGTTTTACACTCCAAAACTTGGAACCACGGTTTGATTGGTTCGATTTGTTTCGGTTCAATTTCGGTTTTTCGGTTTTTTACCAAAAAAATTGTCATTTGATTTAAAATTGACATAATACTTAGAGGGATCAAACATATTACATAAAGAATGCAAGCACACTACAACAAATAAAATAAAAATGAGAAGAAATGAATATGCCTTGAATTATATGAGTATGTGAGAGAGATAAAAGTGTACGGAGTATATATTATTAATTTACATTGTTTGTGATTAGTTCGAAAAAGTTCATTAGTATATATGTTCTATGTGATATAGTTGAGATGAACAATTATTGTTTCATCAATATAAAATCTTTAAGTTATATAAAAATAAAAGTTAATTAATACTAATAACTAGTAAAAACATATTATCATCATAACACAAACAATGAATGTGTAAATGAATTTATAAACTAAACTAAACTAAACATAACACAAACATTATTTCTCTAGCACAAGAAAACAAAAGACTATTAATTATATTAAAAATAATTAATTAGGATTAATGCTTAACAATTAACAAATAAATTTTATATTTTAATTAGTTCAGTTTGTTCGGTTCGGTTCGGTTTTGAAGGGTAAAAACCAAAACCGAATCAAACAACTACGGTTCGGTTCAGTTTTTTATATTTGGTTTTGGTTTGTTAACGATTCGGTTTAATGTGGTTGTGATTCGGTTTAATTTGATTCGGTTTTCGGTTTTCCGGACCCAACCCTAGACATTTATAGGGATTTTTCCTTTTATGACTAAATTGAAACTCATTCGGTCATTCTCAAAAGAGATTACTTTTACTTTTGGATAAAAATGTGATATTAAGATAATAAATTTTAAAAAACATGATGTTTTTGTGTCATCTTCATATTTTTATGTCACCCATAGATGTCTGTCTTAACCATCAGTGTCACTATCACTATCACTCTTACCCCATTACTGTCACTGTTGTTGTGAAACAGTCACAATAACTTTGACATTTTCCCCGATTTTCCTGACGAATATAAAAAATATGAAAAAGTTTGGCAAAGTTTTCCGAGAATTTTTCCCTGTGACTTTTTCTTTCGAATTTTTACATGGAAATTCATAAAACTATTAAAAAATTGTCGGAATTTTCCAACGACTTTTCTAGCAGCCGACTGCAGTTCCAGCGACAGACGATGACATGTGTTGCTGTAGGAGGCCGTGGGTAGTTGAGTAGGAATTAGTATTAAACAAAATATATTAACCAAACAAAGCTTAGTCACGTTCTTTTAAAATGAAAACTAATCATATTTCGTCTTTCAAAAGCGTAAATGTGATATTTTTGACATTATTCCAATTCCAAATGAGTAAAATCAATAAAAAATGACAGGATAAAAATAAAGGAAAAATTGACAGAATAATCTTACCTTTCACTGGTCTTCTCATAATAATCCTACCTTTACATAATCCCAAAATAATCTCACCTTTGCACACCGTCTTCTTTTATTGGACCCTGACCAAGTTTTTTACCTTTCTTTGAAAATCTTATATAAATAATCTCACATTTGTAAAGATATAATAGAAAAGTGAAAGGTGAGATTATTTATATGATTTTCAAAAAAAGAGTAAAAAACATGGTCAGGGTCCAATGAAAGAAGATGAGGTGAAAAGGTGGGATTATCCTTTGCCTAAATAAGAGTAAATTGGTATCATCACTTTATAGCTTGAGATACTAATATGATACTATTAATCTCATGATTGATGGTGTTTTCAAATTATCATAGTAATTACTTATAATTAGAAGAAATGATATTATACCTCTATTTTGAATTTTTTCGTTTAAGGCAATTTTTTTAGGTGCATGCTGTGGTATCCAATTAAAAAATGTGAATCCTGAACTTATAACACATATGATTGATCCATATCATCAATTCCTCATTTATTTATATTTTAATTATTACAATATTTTGATGGATGTGTATGAAGTAATGACTAATGAACAAGATACGGTAACCTTGGGTACCTACGGCTAAACTAGAATTTGCCATTTCTTTATTTAAACTTTGGCCATTCACTCGGAATTAGTTTTGACCTCATTTATGTTCTGCATTTGCAGCATGTAGATCAGCGATAAGCAACGCGTCACTGGACTACCCACTGCTTGTTCCAAATGGGAGTGTAGTGTTCACGGCTGGCAATTGCGTATCTTGCAAGTGTGACGCTCCGGCCGCTACCGCTGTAAATAACTGGAAGTAAGTCCATTCAGTGCCTTCCCCTGTATAAATAGTCTTTACTCATTGATCTTGTGTCTGTGCTAATTAATCATCTGATTCTTGGAATGGATAATGGAGCACAGTTTAGAATGCCAACCCACACAGCTGAAATCGTCAGTTTGGTCAAAATGCCCGAGCACGTCGTGCCAATTTGGAGGTTCAGTTAACGGTGGTAGTAGCTGCGCCGGCGGGGGTAACACAACGTCCGGGGCGTGTACATATGCTGGCTACACCAACCAAACCATTCTCACTGCCTCCCTTGACTCAACCTGTCCCCGTAAGTACTTCTGTCGATCTCTATCTACATGTATATACTCCTATATACTCCCTCCGTCCCCATGAAGGCAATTGAGTCAAGTCACTCATGACTCACTAAGTCACAATATTCTACTCGAGTTTGGTTAATTCCAAACTCGAGCCAAACTCGCTCATTTATAATGAGTCATGTCATATATACGTGTCTGTGTAATTCTGTTTGTGAGAATATAAAATTTCTAATATTGAAAGTAGAAGATTTGTTTTTGAAAGGAACAAGAACTCTAATTCGAGCATGAACTCATTTGAACCTCATACTCTTAACGAGCTATACTTGAGACGAGCTCGAGCTAAACACGTTTGAGCTCGAGCAGAACCAAGTTTGAGCTCCATTCGTTCTTTTGCACTCCTACTCACTACTCTTGAGTCTCGAATACGGAATACATGTCTATTTGGATTTTGGATCACATCTACTAATCATGAAAATTACAAATTACTTATATGTTAAACACCGAACTACTTACTTTTTCGGATTGGTCTTTTAGTATAAAAAAAAGTATTGAAGCCTATTTGGTAATTATAAATTGACTTAATCCATTGCAATTGCTGCTGAAATAGTTGAATATGGGTGAACTATGGAAACAGTACATTTATCACATATTTTACTGAAACAAATACAAAAGTATGGAACTAAATTCAGTCAATTCAGTGACTTCAATCTTACTTTAATTACAAAAATCCGCACATGAAAAAAAAAATCTAGTATTTGATAAAAACTTGATCGATAAGGTAGATAAGTCGAACAAAGGATTATCAAATGGCCTGACATTGTTATTCCTATATTTTGGGCTGCAGAGAAGGATGGCGGATCTGCATTAAGACCTCAATATAATTGGAAATGGCGCTTGATGCTCACCTTGTTGTGTTGGACGGTTTGCATTTCAAGCAGTTACATATTTTGATTGTGAGTAAAGTCATTAAGTTGTGTGTGTCATGCTATTCTCCTCTCCTCCTTTTTTGTGTGTAATCCGGCCCAATTACGGTTTAATTTATTTTGCTTTAGTCATCATCAACATAATTATCATCCGAGGTTTGTATTGTATCACTATTACTGCGTAGTTGATTTTATCCATGTGCGGCACAGATATTTACACGCCTATCTATTGTTTTCTTATGTTTGTGTGTGATTGGTTATCTGCTTTCACTACATATGGAAGCATTCATGATGATGATAATGATGATTACAAATGGATGTACTTTGAGTCGTAATGTACTTCTTTACTAACAAGTACTTTGAATAATCATAATGATTCCCCGGAATGCATACTATTGTGTATGGTTTTAATGCCATTTTATGGATTATGGAAGCTGCAATGGAACATAACTCTTTAAGTGCCTGAAAGTCGTCTGCATTTCACTTTTTTCTCTCCAGTAGTTCATGTTGGCTCGTTCGCTCGTTGCTTTGTCTCTCTTCTAGGCACTCAGAAATGATTGATCATGGACTTCTTTAATCTTTACTATCTTCACACTGACCAAACACATGGGAGATCTTCTACAATCTGTATACTTCTTTCTCACGAGATGTCCTAATAAGTGGAGGACGTAGGCAGGGGCGTATCCAGAGTGGGGGCAGGGGGGCAGCTGCCTCCACTCAACCCCACCCAACCCTTTTATAAATATATCCAATTTAAATTTATACATATATTTTTGTTCTAAATAAAGGGTTCTTATAGAATAAGTGAATTTTTATACAATGCGTTAGTGGCCGAGCGGAAGTAGATGCGGAGATAAGATTACGCGTTCAAAATGAGGTCAGGACTCAGGAGTTCGACTCCTACTTGCAGCATTGTTTGTTTTGTTTTATTTCTATTGTCTTTGAAGCGTTGACAAATTCTAAGTGGTTTTACATTGTTCTTTTTACTTTTTTTTATTGTTGGAAGATCTAAACTACATCAATGTAGTTACAATTCTAGTTTCACATATGAACTACTTTTTTAATATAATTGTGATTTTTAAATTTAAAATAATTCTACTAGATGCTTCTCCTTCCCTTAGTTGATTCATTTATATATTGACATAATTTTGCATAAATTATAGATTCCATGTGATAAAATTATTTCTAACAAAGTGAAGTTTAATTAAACCTGATATCATAACGTTTTTTTACGAGAGAATATTTTGTTATTTATAATTGGTTTTACAATTTTTTTCTTAATCTGATTAGTCTATTTTTTTTCTTTTTAATCTAAGGTAAATTCGCCCCCGCTGGCATATTTTTCTGGATACGCCACTGGACGTAGGAATGGGGGAGCCTGGGGGGCAAGTGCCCTGCTTCGGAGTTCCAACCCGAAGTTTATTATTACTACTTTGTCCCACTAAGATTGGGACAAGAGAGTGTGGTGCAATTTTTAAGAAAAGGGGAATTGTGTGGTTGATATTAAATTGATAAAGTGTGACTAAAGTAAGAATGAATTGTAACCACTCAAATAATATCAGATATTGTATGGAACAAACTTGATGGGACAAATAAAAAAGGTAAAATTGGACAAAGTTAGGGAGGCGGAGGGAGTACTACTTGAGAAAAAATCGTGTCCCCTACCTTGACAAAAAACTATGTTCTACATATTAGATATATGGATAACTTTGTTGAAGGGCATATAACAATTCATCATCATCTTCATGACCCCAGTGCCTCAAAGGCTCCCACCTATGGTGGGATAAGGGGGTCGGGTGTACGCAGTATTACCCATGTACTAAAGCACAAAGAGACTGTTTCTGGATGACTCATTATGAAAATCGCGTCGAAAATTGCATGGATTGACTGTTGCTTCATAAAAAGAAGCGCAGACAGTTTAGCTATAAAAGTTAGATATATAAAATCATATTATTAAATAAAGTTATATTGAAGGATGAAATAACAAACTTGAATTATACTTCCTTTTTTATACATTAATATTTTATTTCATAGTGATGCCATTGAACTATAAGGTGTGTTTCTCGAGAACAATTTTGTTCACCCCCTTAAAAGAGGGTGAACATCACCCCCACCCTTATTGGGCTGCCACATGGCATGGCTATGCTTTTAAATTTTGCAATTGTTATAACTTTTGTATTTTTGGTTCAATTTTTTCAAAAAATATATCAATATTTTTAATTTTTATGATCTTTCATATGATACCAATATTGAATATGTAAAACTTAAAAAAACGACTTAAAATATACGTAAGAAAAAAGATTTTTTTTTTCAATTTTTTATATATGCAATATGGATACCATTGGAAAGATCATAGAAAGTTATTAAATCTAATTTATTTTTTGTTTTTTTGGAAGAGGAGGACTTACATTGATATCACAGCATTACCATTCAGAAGGGGGTTAAAACAATATAAGGACCGCATGAAACCGTCAACACTCGAACCAGACTTAGAGTCAATCACCTTCGAGAAGCAATATAACTCGTTGATCCTATAATGGGCTTACATGAGCCAAAGACGGTTAAAGCAGACCTCCTATCACTCAATCCTAATGCAAGAGTCTTACAATAATAAAAGTAACCAACAGAAAAATAAATAGTTTGATCATGAAAAATAAATCGCAAGCAAACAGTAAAATTAAAATGACGCTTCCAAACCCTAGACTCTCCTGCACTCCATGGCGGCGGTTCAGGAAGGGGACATTTTTGGGAATTCTGCTTACAATTAATGGTCCAAGCAACTTAAAATTAATAAAAGGGGGATACTCTAACTTTAATAAAAGTTTAAGGCCTTAAGGGGTAAATGATTCAGTTCTAAAAGTATAAGGTTGATTTAATAATTATCAATTTATCATCTAACCTCAAGGGGTAATAATTATTTTCCCATTTCTTTTAGAATTGGCAAATCCGAGAATGGAACCAACTTAAAACGTACTATGTCCATCAGTCCATGCCTAGATAAGATATAGAGAATGTGAAATTTAATATTACGTAATACTTTATTGAATGTGAAATTCAATACTACATACCCGTAGTATTTTTTAAATGCGGAGTTTTATACTCCGTATATAAAAAAAGCGGAGTTTATTAGAATTTTATTTGACGATCAATATTCAGAAAATACAACATACAACGTATATATCTACTAAACCAAATCAAATACCGAGTATTAAACATGTCATATCATACGAAGTACTAGATGACTTGAAATATACCGTCCAATTAAAATCATCTAAAAATCAAGTGATGATAGTTAGTGGTTTTTAAAGTTGTGAAGACAGTTAATGAAAGGATTCCCACGTGATAGGCGCATAAACGGTATAATTAGAATGGCGGGGAACAGTTATAGATTTACATCCTATATATACGCACGTGGAAACTGAGTGGGGATAGGGACGACAATAACCGTCATCGCCAGTTCTACATAAGGAAGACACCCCTTCCCTTACAAACTTTTTCTTCTCTTGATGTTCTTTCCGTCTCCTTCCTCCACCCTAGTAACAAAGAAATCGAGTAAAAATCAGTTAGGATGTTAAAGCAAGGCAGTCACGATTTCTTCAACCCTGCTGGCAGCCATATCTCTGCCACCGACCAGCAGAAACCGCTTCCTCCCATATATAAGAAGCGGAGAAGAAGCAGAACGATGATGGTGGGCATGGAGGAGAATCAGCAGTCTTCATCTCCCTTCCCTCCCGTCGGTGGAGGAAGCAAGGGGCATGGCCCGGTGGTCCCCACTAGCGCCTCCGACGGAATGCCGCAGTGCACGGAGTGTGGGAAGAGGTTCTGTTCCTGGAAGGCCCTGTTTGGACACATGCGCTGCCATCCGGAAAGGCAGTGGCGCGGCATCAACCCTCCGCCAAATTTCGCCAGACCGCCACCTGTCACCTCGTCTTCTCCTCCGAGCCGCCGCAGCTTCTGCTGGGGAGGAGATGGTCATGATGATGATGATTATGAGGTGGCAGGGTGCCTGTTAATGCTTGCGAGTGCTGGTGAGAGGCGGCAGAGCCTGCAACATCCGCAGCAGCGGGCAGCGCTTAGGATGGATGATGAAATATCCGTGGCAGTCGCGCCATTTGAATGTTCGGGTTGTAATGATAATAATAGTAGTAGTAGGTATAATAATAATAAAGCAGGAGCAGCAGGAGTGATGTTAATGGCAGGCGTGGGGGAGGAGGAAGAGCGGCACAGGTGCGGCATCTGTTTGAAGGCCTTCTCAAGCGGTCAAGCGCTGGGCGGGCACAAGAGGCGCCATTGGCTCAACAAGATTCCTCCTCCTCTTCCACTGCTAATTAAGAGTAGCTTTGGCCCTGACCAATGCCATCCTCATCCCAATCCAGGCACCGGGGCTTACTTGGATTTGAACTTTCCTGCAGCACAAGATCATCATCATCATTCTTCATCACTGCCTGATGTTTACAACTCTTCTACCTATGGCCTGCCTAATTTGGAGTTAAGATTGGCTCTCTAAGCACCGGTTGAGTTTGACCGTGTTGAATACTTGAATCTATACTATATGCCTTATTGTTAGTTAGTTCATGTATTATTAGTCTAGCTTATCAATTACTAGTAATTAGCTAGTTACGGTGCCTGTGCTACTGCTGGCCTGATTTCCATTAATTGTACTGATATATTATTAACAACTGTTGTATTGATACTGCTCCTACATTCAGTATTAATAATTCTCATCAGATTATAATTTGACTGGTAATATATATACAGATACACTTGTATCTGTTTTTACGGTCAACTTGCCACAGCAGCACATTGTTTTTCGGAGCAAACAATGTTTTGGCGTCTGCCTACATTATTTAGGCGTAAAGAAATCAAAGAAAATTCTTCAGAGGGATAGTTTTAAGTTGATATAAGGCAATGGGTACCTCTATTTTATTTGTTGTTACTTCCATGTAAAATAAAAAGATACTTTTGGGTGCTCTATAACCAGTTCTGTACTAAAGATATGAATTAACTCATTAAACTCTATGAGACTATGAACGGGGGGAGGTGCGGGGATACGCACTCAGACCCGGACAACAACCTTCACGATTACCACTTTCAAGGCTTAAACAGAAGAATCAAAACTTTATAAATATCAACATCTCCCAGATATCCCCTCTGAAGATCAGAGGCTACCTTGGTTCCTCCTGGTTTACAAAGTTAATGGAATCCAAAGTTTCTCCTGGTTTTGATGAGAACAATATTTTCAGTTTTTTAATTATCTGCGACATTTCTCCACTTTGTCTTGTGTACGAAATTTCAAGTAGACACTCGTTTCTCAAACTTCACTCAAACTTTCTCATTGTCCCAAACTTCACTTATTAGACTTGCACAATCCCTCCCATTTACAA